ATTTATCATTAAAAATACCGTAGATAGCAGCGTTTTACGTCCCGCGATGTTTACTTAATTCTTTGCGTATGTTATATTTTATCAAGGATATTTCAGTATCCGAGAACAACCTCAAATCTGACCGGAGTCATCCTGATAGCGTGAGTGTGAGAAACAAAATTGATGAGATCCCATTTGCAAATATGTCTATGATCTCAGAATCTATTGGTAAGTTACAAAGAAATGCATAAATTGTTAGCAAAAAGGCTACGACAAAAAAAATTGTAAATATAATTTACATTAAAGAAAAAGTAAAAATAAAATATAAAAAAAAGTGTCTTTCAACACCGAAAAGAATATAAATTTTATTTTGCCGCAAAGAAAGAAAGAAAAATCCATAAACTAAACGTAAAATTAATCAGGATTTAATATAAAGCAGTTAATTATATTATTTAACTTTGCTAGTTTATTTGTTTTAGAACAATTGTAAATATTATACTTCTGATTTCTTAATCAATAAGATATTTCCGAAAAACGTTTATTGCTTTATTGAAAACTTTGTACTTGTTTTTGTTCTGGATTAACAATCTTTTTTTAAATTTTATAAAACGTAAATTTTTATATTATTTTATTATTTGAAGAGTCAACACTTGCTGTGTTAATTTCCATATTTTGTAATTCATCTTTATTTTTTTTCTTGCTTTTATCTTGAATCGTTTTTTCTTAATTACTGAACTAGTCAAGTCAATGTTCTTGTATATAATTATGCCAATATTATGCCAATCTTAAAATTTCTAGAAAGCATTTTGAACAAACCAACATCTCCTAGAGCATTTGTAGAGTTCTATAATGGATTCCTAAATGAAGAACATGACATTTCTGTGATATTCAGGTAAAAAATCTAAATTTTCAGTATGTATTCTTTTTAATTTAACGACACATACATATAAAAATGTTGTTTCTGTTGTAATTTTACTAAATATAAAAAAGACAAAATAATATTTTTTTTTTGCAGATGGAACCAACCTGAATTTACAGACGAAGTAATACAAGGATACACAATGCAATGTTGGTTCATCGAGAACTTAAAAGAGATTTAAATTTGCGACGACAAAAGTATCTCAGCCACAATATTGGAATACACGATGCACAATCTAAAACCTAACACGACGTACTACTTTCAAGTACGAGCGCATACTAAAGTTGGTGCTGGTCCTTACACAGATTTCATTGGTGTATCGACTACGCACGAAAATGCAATACCGCAATTATTGATGATAACGGGAAACAGTATCGATATATGGGATATGGATTCAAAAATCAACGTTAATCTCGTTAAAGATAAGTCCATAATAAGTGCCACTTACTCGATAGCGGAACATAAAATTTATTGGAGCAACTCGAAGGAAGAGCTAATGATATTAGAGATGAGTGAAAAATATATTACGAAAATAGCTAAGCTTCAATTTATTGCGTACCATCTCTGCATCGACTGGGTAGCAAGAAATCTGTACTGGATGGAAATAGACATAATTTATACTAATAATATCATAAAACTCGACTTAACAATGTGGGAAAATGGCATACTCAAATACGATAAGATTTTGCAAACAGAATTTTTTTTTGGTAATGTCGGTTTAACTATACTTCCATCTATAGGGTATGTTAACTTTCATTCATTTGAAATAAATGAACAATATTTTCATTAAAAATTTGTACTGATTTGTAATTTTTCAATAATTTCATATGGCTTTGTAATTAAGATCAAAAGTCATAAAAAATAATAAACTAACACAAATTAAATTATAAGAATTTTACATATTCACTATATACAAACATCTTTTTCTGCTCTGTTATATATGCTAATGATATTCTATAATAAGTAAAATAATGCATATATTTTTTAGAACTTTATATTGGACTAAATACAATGTTGTTTCTGTTGTAATTTTACTAAATATAAAAAAGACAAAATAATATTTTTTTTTTGCAGATGGAACCAACCTGAATTTACAGACGAAGTAATACAAGGATACACAATGCAATGTTGGTTCATCGAGAACTTAAAAGAGATTTAAATTTGCGACGACAAAAGTATCTCAGCCACAATATTGGAATACACGATGCACAATCTAAAACCTAACACGACGTACTACTTTCAAGTACGAGCGCATACTAAAGTTGGTGCTGGCCCTTACACAGATTTCATTGGTGTATCGACTACGCACGAAAATGCAATACCGCAATTATTGATGATAACGGGAAACAGTATCGATATATGGGATATGGATTCAAAAATCAACGTTAATCTCGTTAAAGATAAGTCCATAATAAGTGCCACTTACTCGATAGCGGAACATAAAATTTATTGGAGCAACTCGAAGGAAGAGCTAATGATATTAGAGATGAGTGAAAAATATATTACGAAAATAGCTAAGCTTCAATTTATTGCGTACCATCTCTGCATCGACTGGGTAGCAAGAAATCTGTACTGGATAGAATTTCACACGAGTCGTACTGTTGGCATCGTAAAGCTCGACTTAACAATGTGGGAAAATGGCATAGTCAAATATGATAAAATTTTGAAAATAGAAAATCTCTTTTTTGGTTTTGATCATTTAAATATACTACCGTCTATAGGGTATGTTAACTTTCATTCATTTGAAATAAATGATATCGACTACGCACGAAAATCCAATACCGCAATTATTGATGATAACGGGAAACAGTATCGATATATGGGATATGGATTCAAAAATCAACGTTAATCTCGTTAAAGATAAGTCCATAATAAGTGCCACTTACTCGATAGCGGAACATAAAATTTATTGGAGCAACTCGAAGGAAGAGCTAATGATATTAGAGATGAGTGAAAAATATATTACGAAAATAGCTAAGCTTCAATTTATTGCGTACCATCTCTGCATCGACTGGGTAGCAAGAAATCTGTACTGGATAGAATTTCACACGAGTCGTACTGTTGGCATCGTAAAGCTCGACTTAACAATGTGGGAAAATGGCATAGTCAAATATGATAAAATTTTGAAAATAGAAAATCTCTTTTTTGGTTTTGATCATTTAAATATACTACCGTCTATAGGGTATGTTAACTTTCATTAATTTGAAATAAATGAACAATATTTTCATTAAAGATTTGTACTGATTTGTAATTTTTCAATAATTTCATATGGCTTTGTAATTAAGATCAAAAGTCATAAAAAATAATAAACTAACACAAATTAAATTATAAGAATTTTACATATTCACTATATACAAACATCTTTTTCTGCTCTGTTATATATGCTAATGATATTCTATAATAAGTAAAATAATGCATATATTTTTTAGAACTTTATATTGGACAAAATACACAATAGCAAACAATAAACAAATAGTAAACAAATAGTAAACAACTTTATGTAATGCAATCGGATTTTGATGGAAATAATGCTCAAATCTTTCGGAAAGATTTAACTATTTCATGCCTCTTATCTAATACGTCAATAGTTATGGATATACGGTCAATAATTATGGTAAAAATTGACGACATATATACTAAGAAGCAGCTAATTTATTGGCTATTGCATAATCACTTAATTGTGACAGACATTAACGTTTCCATATGCAATTTGATTATTCAAACCAAAATTATCGGCTATCGAATATACTTCAAATCTTTAACGATTGACAAGACAAACATTTACATTTCTAGTTTTAGTGATAATGAGAGCATAGACGCATTCAAATATATCCAAAAGATAAAATCGTTTACCTCGATTGATAAATTTCATCCTTTCGGTAAATCTTTGCAATCATATCCTCCGACGAGATGTCTGACACCTGACAAAACAGTTTACAACGTAGAAGAATCGATGTACACAGTAACGACGAACAGTATCATCGTAAATCTTCCGGGGTCAATCCCTAAGAGTGGATGCAAGGAGTACAAACTACCTACCACCCTATATACCATCAACATCATAAGCTATTGTTTGGAGCTTAACAAGTACAATAATTTCACCGTGCAAACGTACGAGCGATATTACGAGATTTCGAATTTAACGCCGCTTACAGAGTACAAATTACTGCTAGTAACAAGCAATTTTTATTCTGATCAATTATCGATGCTTCCGTTATCCGGCTTGGAAGTGATACTGAAAACTAAACCGGGCAAGCTCGAAGCACCAGAAAATGTGACAGTTCAGGCTCTTACGCCTACTATAGCGGCAGTTTATTGGATGCCACCCAAGAAACTAAACTGCGTGCTTGTGATGTACGAAATACATTGGACATTAGTTATCAACAATATGCGGCAAATAAATGAGCTACTTATCAATAAAACCGAACATAAGATAGACAGCAAATTTTTCACAATAATCGAACCGTTGATACCAGCACTGAAATACAGGGTATATGTACGCATTTATCCACTTAACTACAGCGAACTTTATACTGACAGTTTGAGCAAAACTTTGCACGTGTATTCGGAACCAAACAATATAACTTTGAACGAAGTTAGCATAAACGGTATGAATATCTCGTGGATTCCTAGCATTAATTTGACAATTCATTACGTATTAGAATACAAAAATGTTGAGATGCAGGAGTGGCAAATTGCAAGAAACTTTGAGCCAAATAGTGGGGGGAAAGTAATGTATTATATACAGAACTTATTACCAGAAACTCTGTACGAGTTTCGTTTGATACTGAAATACCCCAAGTACAAGAAAGACTTTATATGGCCATCTAATAGAAGATTTACTTTTTCAACACTGACAAGTAAGCAAATGAAGATATTATAATATTATATGCTTATTTTGGATATGAAAATGCTTACAAAATTTAAAAACTCTTAGTCATTTTTAATAATAAAGTTATAAATAGAAGTAAATTTTTAAATAAAATAAGATATTAAGAGTATATTTTTGCGTAACAAAGGTGACGTTTCGAGCACTCCTGGAATATTAGTTAAGCAATATTACCTATCACTCACCGTAAGCTTTGTCGCTATAGTTACTGTAATCTGCGTCTTCTACTTTTACTACTGTATAGTGTAATACTATATAGAGATTTTCTTAAAAAAGTTAATTTTCTTATTGGAAAAGCGATGTAAATTTTGCAATGTATACTATTAAATAAGTATATTGCAATTTTATAACAGTATATCGACAACGCAAAAAAAGTAACGAGCAAGTTTTGCGTCCGACAATGACCGACCTCGAATTAGCGATTCTATATGAAATACCGAACGGTAACATTCAATTCAATACGTTATACAGTCCTATGTTGCAATATAATTCGGATGAATCTGTATTGATCAAAATCAAACGTGAGGAAATCAAACTAGAAAAACTTATAGGCAGCGGCGCATTCGGAAAGGTAAAAACTAATTTTTTCAATGTTATACGCTAATTTCCAGATCTACAAAAATTGAGACAGATATGTATTTCTCGATAAAAATAATTATATGATTAACTTTTTATAAAAAATTATAATTAATGCAAAATTTTTGTGAAAAAACATACACATGCACTCTATATATTTTTCAATTAATTATTTAGTACAATATGAAACGTGTGTGAAGTTAGCATCTCAAGTGTTAGCATCTCACAAATAAACTTCATATTAACTAGCATCCAGCATAGTTCCATAGTTCTTGATAGGTTTTAACAATAGTTCCGTCTAATTTACTATTAAAATCGTATTTTTAAGAAATGAGATGCTAACTTCCGGTAACATCTGATAGCATCTCATCGTATTTCGAATATTTTATCATGGGGGAGTAAGATTCCGTGGAGTTTTACAGCCTAGACACATTCTGTCAATAGTTCTGACGATTAAATTCTGTAGAAAGTAATTTATCGTCACAAAACCCATCTAATCCGCGCTACTGGCACCTTACTTTCAAAAATTTGAAGTTTTATTAACAGTTCTATTTGCTTCCTAGAGAGTTCTATCGATAAGTATTAAGGCCCGAAGCTGTAAAACCAAAAATGAAAAAGTTCTGGCCACTTTTAGTCATACGCTCTTAAAAAATTTCTGAGTTCCGAGGGGTTGATATTTTTTTCGAATTTTCGAAGTTCTAATGGTAGTTCTATTTGCATCCCGAGGAGTTCTATCGATAAGTATTAAGGCCCGAAGCTGTAAAACCAAAAATGAAAAAGTTCTGGCCATTTTTAGTCATACGCTCTTAAAACATTTCTAAGTCCCGAGGGGTTGATATTTTTTCGAATTTTCGAAGTTCTAATGGTAGTTCTATTTGCATCCCGAGGAGTTCTATCGATAAGTATTAAGGCCCGAAGCTGTAAAACCAAAAATGAAAAAGTTCTGGCCATTTTTAGTCATACGCTCTTAAAACATTTCTAAGTCCCGAGGGGTTGATATTTTTTCGAATTTTCGAAGTTCTAATGGTAGTTCTATTTGCATCCCGAGGAGTTCTATCGATAAGTATTAAGGCCCGAAGCTGTAAAACCAAAAATGAAAAAGTTCTGGCCATTTTTAGTCATACGCTCTTAAAACATTTCTAAGTCCCGAGGGGTTGATATTTTTTCGAATTTTCGAAGTTCTAATGGTAGTTCTATTTGCATCCCGAGGAGTTCTATCGATAAGTATTAAGGCCCGAAGCTGTAAAACCAAAAATGAAAAAGTTCTGGCCATTTTTAGTCATACGCTCTTAAAACATTTCTAAGTCCCGAGGGGTTGATATTTTTTCGAATTTTCGAAGTTCTAATGGTAGTTCTATTTGCATCCCGAGGAGTTCTATCGATAAGTATTAAGGCCCGAAGCTGTAAAACCAAAAATGAAAAAGTTCTGGCCATTTTTAGTCATACGCTCTTAAAACATTTCTAAGTCCCGAGGGGTTGATATTTTTTCGAATTTTCGAAGTTCTAATGGTAGTTCTATTTGCATCCCGAGGAGTTCTATCGATAAGTATTAAGGCCCGAAGCTGTAAAACCAAAAATGAAAAAGTTCTGGCCATTTTTAGTCATACGCTCTTAAAACATTTCTAAGTCCCGAGGGGTTGATATTTTTTCGAATTTTCGAAGTTCTAATGGTAGTTCTATTTGCATCCCGAGGAGTTCTATCGATAAGTATTAAGGCCCGAAGCTGTAAAACCAAAAATGAAAAAGTTCTGGCCATTTTTAGTCATACGCTCTTAAAACATTTCTAAGTCCCGAGGGGTTGATATTTTTTCGAATTTTCGAAGTTCTAATGGTAGTTCTATTTGCTTCTTAAAGAGTTCTATCGATAAGTATTAAGGCCCGAAGCTGTAAAACCAAAAATGAAAAAGTTCTGGCCACTTTTAGTCATACGCTCTTAAAAAATTTCTGAGTTCCGAGGGGTTGATATTTTTTTCGAATTTTCGAAGTTCTAATGGTAGTTCTATTTGCATCCCGAGGAGTTCTATCGATAAGTATTACGGCCCGTAGCTGTAAAACCAAAAATGAAAAAGTTCTGGCCACTTTTAGTCATACGCTCTTAAAAAATTTCTGAGTTCCGAGGGGTTGATATTTTTTTCGAATTTTCAAAGTTCTAATGGTAGTTCTATTTGCTTCTTAAAGAGTTCTATCGATAAGTATTAAGGCCCGAAGCTGTAAAACCAAAAATGAAAGAGTTCTGGCTACTTTTAGTTATACGCTCTTAAAAAATTTAGCACCGGGCCCAAGCGTGCCATATTTACGTATGTGGTATCGAGTAGCGCGTCACACTCTCCCCACTTTGTCCGCCTATGCGCCGTGCGCAGACCGTAGATATTCTCTCCCTGGAATATAGCACAGCGCTTGTCCCACACACTGTACGCACCCAGCTACAACGATCCTTATCACTTCTCTCTTGATGCGTGCATACTCGCATTTGTTCCGTTAAGCGGGCATAAATGCGCTCTTCTTACTAAGGATTTCGATTTCGATTATCTCATTTTTTATGCAGTTACATGATCTTTACTAACTTATATCGCATTTGATCTCTCCGAAATTTATAGAAATCATTATTTCTTCATATGAGTATTACCATTTACTTCTTCTTTTTTTCTATTAGCTATTACGAAAAAATACTCTCAGGAATCCCGTCTAAAATTCGTGAAATTTTACCAATACCGAGAGGTTTCAGAAATCTATTCCAGAAATCTAAATCCAGAAAAAATTTTTGATTTTCTCTAAAAGTATATGTAGAAAATAATATCTCGGAGTTTAGATTGAATATATCATACGTTAACAGAATGCCTTACGACAAACTTATATTAGAAGAGATTTTGCTGCAGAATGATTGCCGAACTCTTGATGTTAACGGCAAAATCTTACCTCCATCGAATCTAGTTTATCGCCTCGTTGCCAATCGTATGGCATTACGTGGTTCATATATTGACCCACGTCACGTATATACGATTGTCAATGAGAATCGCCTTGGATTCAGGACATTAATTGCGGCGACATATAAAATCGATCCAGAAGGAGATATTAGTAACAGTTCTGATTCAAATATCGACTCGAGTTGCAACTTATCGGAGAGTGCATATTCTAAGAAAATAAAATTAATTCTATCTGCTCAAAAATGGTTGGAAATTAGTCCCAAAAAGAAAATTTCTAGTGGACGAATTTACTGGAAATTGCAAGAAGGTTGGGCCGATGTCATCGCTGAGCGAATATGCCAGCAGCATGGATCGGTGGACTGCGCATTTTCCTTTAAAAACAATTTGGTAACTCCATCTGCTACTGCAGAGATCTATGCAACTTTACTAACTTATATCGCATTTGATCTCTCCGAAATTTATAGAAATCATTATTTCTTCATATGAGTATTACCATTTACTTCTTCTTTTTTTCTATTAGCTATTACGAAAAAATACTCTCAGGAATCCCGTCTAAAATTCGTGAAATTTTACCAATACCGAGAGGTTTCAGAAATCTATTCCAGAAATCTAAATCCAGAAAAAATTTTTGATTTTCTCTAAAAGTATATGTAGAAAATAATATCTCGGAGTTTAGATTGAATATATCATACGTTAACAGAATGCCTTACGACAAACTTATATTAGAAGAGATTTTGCTGCAGAATGATTGCCGAACTCTTGATGTTAACGGCAAAATCTTACCTCCATCGAATCTAGTTTATCGCCTCGTTGCCAATCGTATGGCATTACGTGGTTCATATATTGACCCACGTCACGTATATACGATTGTCAATGAGAATCGCCTTGGATTCAGGACATTAATTGCGGCGACATATAAAATCGATCCAGAAGGAGATATTAGTAACAGTTCTGATTCAAATATCGACTCGAGTTGCAACTTATCGGAGAGTGCATATTCTAAGAAAATAAAATTAATTCTATCTGCTCAAAAATGGTTGGAAATTAGTCCCAAAAAGAAAATTTCTAGTGGACGAATTTACTGGAAATTGCAAGAAGGTTGGGCCGATGTCATTGCTGAGCGAATATGCCAGCAGCATGGATCGGTGGACTGTGCATTTTCCTTTAAAAACAATTTGGTAACTCCATCTGCTACTGCAGAGATCTATGCAAAGTTTATTGGTTATTGCACCGAGTGCAAAGCTAAAATAACCGGACGATTGCAGAATGCGCCGACAAGAGACGTTGACGTGATATTTTCATGTCGCATAGAAAATATTCGATCTCATATTCACACAGGCAAAAAAAAAGACAATTGAGAGGCAAACGTCGTGAGAAAGTGGCCAATCAATTGATAGAACAACGAAAAGATGCAGTCACTTTCCAGCGAGACGAAGCAAAACGTATGAAGAAGTTTGGAGGAAAAAATCTGCCAATCGTGCCGAATGCTGCTACCCTACGCAAAGCAAAGGAGCAGCAATTGCTCAAGTTACTCGGGTTGGAATTCGTCAATCCTCCGATCAATCTACTTCAACAAGCAAAATATGGAAAATATGCGGGTTCTATCCACAGCATTAGTTTACTAAAATTTTATTGCATGTATTGGTCGCCGGAACAGCAGCAAATCTATACTGCTCGGTGCAAAAAAAATCCAAATGCTGTTCTAACGATCGATGCAACGGGAGGTATAGCGAAACGGGCAACAAAGCACGAACCACACGTATTTCTATACCAATGCATGGTAGTAACTAAAGAAGGTAGCGTACCAGTTTTTCAGATGGTATCTGCTGACCAAAGATCGTTTTTGATTGCGCATTTTTTACGACTTATTTTGACAAAGGGTGCGCCCCGGCCCCCTATAGTCGTATGTGACTTTGGGCGTTCTTTGGTAAATGCCGTTGCGGAAGTATTTGGCAGATGTAACAATTTGCCAGATTATTTACAAAAGTGCTACAATGTTATTGTAGAAGGTTCTCCCGTGATACCAGCGTCATATATAAGGCTCGATGTAAGTCACTTTATTGCCATGGTGTCTCGATGGAAATGCTTTAACAGAAAATTAGGCGCAGCACGACAATTCTATATACGATGTATTTCTCAAGCATATCAAATGCGAGATTTCGAGGTGTTGACCTATTTTATTGAATCAGTGCTGGCCGTATCATTAAGTGAATCGATCGGCAACACGAGCAATGGAGTGCCAGTGCCAGCTGAAATACGTATACAAGCTCTCAATAAGACAATTCAAGGAATTCCTTTTAGGGAGATTGAAGATAATGCCGAAGAAGCTAATGAGGATGAGGTTAGCGAGAGTAGCGATGCAGAAGACGACACCATTGATACAGACTGGCAGATGTGGGCGAACACAATATACGGTAATGCGGAAGATATTGGCAGAAGATCGAAAAATGGTAGTATAATTAACGCGTGTTTCAATTCTGATTTTGCTCGTTGCCTGAAAAAGCAATTAATTCCGTATCTGCCGCTTTGGACCGGCATTATGCGATGTTATTTCGAAAGAAGTTCGATAATAGCAACGTCCGCATCGGTCGAGTCAGAGTTTGCCGATTTGAAACGCCGAGCGTTTGACATGCAAAAAAATACAAAAAAAATATTAAAACAAAAAATACAAAAAAAATTAAAATATATAAAAATAAAAAATACAAAAAAAATGGAGCCAAGTCTTACCACGTCCCCGTCGTTGGTTCCGGGTAATTCTAAGAGTAAGAGAAATTTTTTAAGAGTGTATAACTAAAAGTGGCCAGAACTTTTTCATTTTTGGTTTTACAGCTTCGGGCCTTAATACTTATCGATTCGCGACGATGTTTATTCTCGCTCGTGTTTTGCTTGCGGCTCTTACCGTTCAGATTTGTCGGTTGAATTTACGGTTTAAATTTATTGATTAAATTCAACGTTTCAATCTTGAACAAATGGTATGCATTGCAAAATTTCCATCGCCTTTCCAACAAGTACATTAACTTTTTTTAGAAAATCTCTATATACTATAATACATTAGATATAATCTCTCTCTTTCTGCAGTTAAAGAACAAAATGCATATCAAATATATTTACAGTAGTAAAAGTAGCAGACGCAGATTACAGTAACTATAACGACAATGCTTAAAGTGATTGATAAGTAATATTGCATAATCAATATCTCAGGAGTCTTCGAAATATCACCTTTATTACACAAAAACATACTCTTAATTTTTTCATTTTATTTAAAAACTTATTTCTACTTTTAACTTTATTATTAAAAATTACTAAGTTTTTAAATTTTGTAAGCATTTTTATATTCATGAAGTTTATTTGTGAGATGCTAACATTTGAGATGCTAACTTCACACACGTCAATATGAAATGTATAATGTCACTTGACATTAAATTATATATTTTTTAATGAAGTATAAGTTTAAATTTATTTTAAATATTTCGCAAATGTTTCGATGAACAGTAAAGAATTTAGAAAGACCGGGCATAGAAAAACCCGCTGCCATAAAAATGCTTCAAAAAAATGCTTCCTTGAAAGAGAAAAAGAAGTTTTTAGAAAAGGCCAGGCTTATGAATTGCTTCCGACACAAACATGTACTAAGATTGTTGGCCGTCTGCTTAGACAAAAATTCTCCATTAATCGTGTTGGAATTAATGGAAGTTGGTGATCTGCTAGAATATTTGAGGGATAGTAGAAAATTGCAACCATCAGATTTGCACGCTCTGCGTCTGCAAGATTTGTTCGCCATGTGCGAAGATGTTGCGCGAGGCTGTTGCTACTTGGAAAACCTGCGTTTTGTTCATAGAGATCTCGCGTGTCGAAATTGTTTAGTATCCGCGAGAGATCGCGAAAATCGTGTCATTAAAATTGGCGATTTTGAACTAGCTAGAGATGTTTATATGACTATTATCGTGTGGTAAATACAATTATCGTAAAAAATGAAATTTTTAGAAATGTTTGTCTGTTCTTCTTTTATCGTAATAATATATGTAGTACATTTTTATTTTTAATAGAACTTAAGGAAAATCGATTATTTCTATTTATATAAAGCAAGAGATAAATAAATGTTTTTTACTTTAGCACAAAGACTCTAAAAATGGGGAACTTGAACTAGAAGATTAACTTCGTTAAAATCACATGTTCTACAAAGGACAAGATCTTCTTCCTGTTTGTTGGATGGCACCGGAATCTTTGGTGCTCGGAATATTTACTTCCCAGAGCGATGTTTGGTCATTCGGGGTTCTAATGTGGGAAATTACATCGTTGGGTGAGCATCCTTATACTGGCAAGATTAATCAGGAAATGATAGATTATGTACGCGCTGGAGGCAAGTTGCTGATGCCTCTCAATTGTCCACCGACTTTGTACGAGTTGATGCTGCGTTGCTGGAGTCCAGCGAATGATAGACCGAACTTTAAACTTTGTGTCAAAAATATTATAAATCTAAGAAATAACATAGAAGATACTTTATTGAGACCAGTGAATATTGTCTAGCTCATAAATGACGTTATTTTCCAAATGATCCAATGAAAAGTTTAAACGTAGGAAAAATAATTTGGTAAATATTGACAAAAGGGGACCCAGACCCAATGACTTTGATCTTGACATATGTTGTCAAGGTCATCGTCCTGAGTAATTCTCAAAAGGTTTTAGCCGTCGCTTGTTGTTCATTGAAAAGTTAATAATAAAAAAATTTACTAAATAAAACTTAATTTTTCTGACACTATGTACATTTAATAGAGCGTATCTTAGCAGAATCATTCATTTATGTGTGATAAATCGAACACATTGGCGGGGGAAGGGCTTCGCCCCTTCCCCTGCACACACAGAAAAATACATACTATATACAAGTAAATATTACTTGTTTTCAAAAGGAAGTAAAGTAAACTGAGTAATCATTTTACTTAGCAACAGAATAATATTTTTCTGTGTGCACCTTCTTCTCGAAAAAGACTAATCTAACCCAACCCATATCCAAGGGGTTTAAAGTTAACGTTTTGTTAACAAATAATAAAGGTAACAAAATAAAGTTAAAAATAAAAAATAAAACAAATTAAATCAAAAATAGATTTGGGTTAGGTTATATCTTCCGGAAGTGGAGCCTCCCCGTATTGGAGCTCACTGTATCCACGCATATATTTTACATAGCAAAGCGAGGTCTACCCCACAATTGTTGTGTGGATGGGAAAGTGTATGTGTGGATGCAGTGGATTCTGCCCCCCCCCCCATATGCGTGGATACAGTGAGCTCCAATACGGGGAGGCTCCACTTCCGGAAGATATAACCTAACCCAAACTTATTTCTGTAATTTCTGATTCTTAAACACTTCTTCTTGTACGCGGTGTTAGATAATTACGTTTCATTCATTAAACTTATTTTGTTAATAACTTATAATTTTTTGATACCATGTAATTTAAGAAACATCCCCCATCCACCTTTTCACTTCATAATACACATACATGCCATATATATTGTGTGTATGTGTGTGTGTGTGTGTTTACTTCTTAATAATAATGTCAGAAAATTACGCTTGATTTGTTAAACTTATTTTGTTAATAATTTTTTAATAAACAACGAGCGATAGCTAAAACTTTTTGAAAGTTACTCAGGAACATGTCTTTGACAATATATGTCAAAGTCAAGGTTATTGGGGCTGGGTCCCCTTTTGTCAATATTTACCTTGTCGATAAATATAAGAGACATTTTTCTTATTTTGCGAGAGATTTTGATGATTAACAATCACAACACTTGTTTTTGCAATTGTAAACAACTTGATGTTACGCTAGCACTTTCGAGTAACCGAAACAAAACTTAATGGTTCTAATTATTATAATTATCAATAGATCACTGGAGCAGTTTTAGAAATAACGTCTATGTCATATTATATTAGTATCCTGTTTTATATTTCTATATATTTTTTTACTTAAGTACTTAAACGAAATACACATTTTTAAAAATTTTCTAAAATATTAATTTAAACACCAAATCACGACCAAATTCCAATTAAGCTCGATTCGCTAAATTCACCTAACAAAGGAATATTGCAAACCCGAAAATTCTGATTTTGATGAAACTTTACAGAAATGTAGGGGGGTCAATAGATAAATTTAGAAATTTTCAGGTGTTGCCCAGAAACGATTCTAAGAGGTGAAAGCACTTCTCATATGAAGAGCGACTTTTTGCTTTTCTCGATATATCTCGAAAATTATTCAAGATATCAAAGAATGTTTTATAGAAAAGTTTTATGGTAAAAGCAGTTCTATTTAACCACATTAATAAAAATTTGAAAAAATTATTCTTTTTTAAAGATTTCTGAAAAATTTTGTTCAAAAAATTATTTTTTAAAATTTTAATTAATAGACTTCGGATTATATGTTCTATTATATGGACATTATGCCATCTTTTAACGGCTGGAACCGATAGGAGACTTACTACGAGGACAGGAAATGAAATCGAATGTCTAGACACACGAGCTTTTTGTCCGTTAATTTGCTGAAGATGATCCAAAGAAAGGATCGAAACGTTCATCATTAAAGAAGATCTCTTAAATTGTGTGTTTTTAAATAAATTAATTCGGTGTATTGATTTATTGCACCCGGCTTTTATTAGCCCTTTTCAATTTTAATATTGTTATATTTATATCAGAGCCTTTAATTTATTATTTCTTTGATAAAGCTTCAAAATTCAGAAATTTAGAACTAGCAAATTATTTGGTTCAATTTTAATAGAAAATTCTTTTCTTTTAACATTGATTAGATACCAGCTGCGTTGTATTTGCGCCAACTGTTTAAAAAATGAAAATAATTGCAGAGAAAGAACATATTATTTTAAAATAAAATTTGAATTAGTCTTACGTGATTTTATAAATGGTCATAACGCAGGGCAGGAAGTGAAAAGATAGACGTCGCCCGCGATATTTTAAACCGATAAAACTCGTATCATATGTACAATATTTACATTATACCATACATCGTTGTATTCCTTTTAAACAGTGCTACAATTTTTATCATATCAAAATATTCACATTATTATAAAAAGATTATGCATAGCTCTGTTAATAGATATGATTACCCATCTGTGACATTACAAGCTGTTTGTGATGCCAATAAATTATTTTTAGATGTTTTTACGGGTCCTCCCAGTAAAATACATGATGCAAGAATATTTAAATTCTTATTTTTAAGTGATGAAATAAAAACTATATCAGAAGATTATCATTTATTAGGCGATGCGGCATATCCTTTAAGAAAATATTTATTAACACCATATAGAGATTATGGTAATCTTACAGCCGCTCAACGAAATTATAATTACAAATTGTCTACAACAAGAGTTAAAATAGAAAATGCGTTTGGATTATTAAAACAAAGATTCAGGCAATTAATGCAATTAGATTTTTTTACAGTTAAACGCTCTGCTAATTTTATTATTTCCTGTTGTGTGTTACATAATATATGTATTATGAATAGTGATTATTTAGATGTTGAAAATGAAGAATGTAATGAAAGGCATATCAATAATGAGCAGAATCCGATAGAATGGAGGGTGAGATAAAAAGAGACATCCCATACAGCACGGATCATTGCAATTATATTGCAGCAATATTGCAATGTTGCAAATTGCAATGCAACATTACAAAGACGTTGCAGAAATATAGAGCCACAAAGTACCAGCACACTTGTAGCAACATGACATTAATATTTCGGAAATATTGCAAAATTCAATTTTTATATAATTTTAATAATAAAATATTATAATAAAATAATTTTTTGCAATATTTCTACATGAAAGATGTTAACGATAAACAATACTAAATGGTTCATTTTATTAAAACATTTTTCTTAAATTGGCTTATATTGCTGCACTGTATGCTTTGCGCAGCACATGTACGCGTTCGCGATTGTGTGCGTATGTAGTAGGTGCCGGTCTTGCTGCACATATCTGTGATTGTCGTGTATTTCGTGATTCACATTTTTTATTGTTGCGTACGAGAAAAGGTAAGAGCTTTTTGATAATATTATGTTTTATTATAGTGACCTAATATATTATGCATTAATTAATTATAATAGAATAGCATGTCCTAAGGTTAATAACCTATATAACCTTAAAATTATTGAGATCGCAAAAGTAAAAATTATATTTATCTATGATATATGTTTGTATATTTTTTATGTGGATATTTTTTGCTTTCTTTAATTTTCTATTTTGCTGTAGATATTAACTTTAAAATATTTGATAAAAATATTTATGTATATTTGCAGTATGTATATTTTTATGTAAATATGAATTTTAACTCCTATTTTATTTTTACAGACATTTAACAAAGGAAAACAATAATGGACAAAATTCAATAAATTATTAGTGGTAATAAAAGCGGCGCGTAAAGCTGAACCATTTTTATATATTTCTCTAATATAAAAAAAATATATTTTTATTTCGTGAACATGTTAAGTGCAATAATATGTTATGTGCAATGTTATTTATTTTATAACGTTAACATAAGTACAAATAAAGACATTTAATTACAATGTATCGTCAATAATTACACATTTATATACTCAAAATATATATACAGTACATGCTGGAGTGAATCGGTAAGCCATTTTTATTGAAACCGGTTTGCTTCTTTTAAACCAATGTACTTCCAACTTCATTTATTTGCTCGAAGGCTGTTGTTTCAAATTTCACATTTTCCGCCAAATATTTGACTGCGCACAAATCAGCCTCGCCAGCACCGAACATACCTTGATTTTCTTTTTGAATGAAATAACAGGGAAGAGAATAAAAGATTCCAGAAAATTTTTCAAAACGTATATTTTGTTTAAGCATTCACGCGAAAAAAATATAGAAATAAACAGGATGCTAATATAATATAAAATAGACATTATTTTCAAAACTACTATAGTAATCTAACGATAATTATAGTAATTAGAATAATTAAGTTTCGTTTCAGTTACTTAAATGTGCTAGCGTTAGCATCACGTTGTTTAAAATTGTAAAAATAAATGTTGTGATTTTTAATCATCAAAATTTTTCGCAAAGTGAGATTGAAGAATGTCTTTCTTATCTTTATCTACTAATCTAATATTAAGATAAAACTTGAAAACGGCAGAATATTAGTTATTTAAAATTATTTTTTCTACGTTTGAGCATTTTATTTGATCATTTGGAAAGTAACGTCAGTATTAATTTAATTTTATCAGCTAAATAATATCCATTGGACTCAATAAGGCATCTTCTATGTTATTTCTTAGAGCTATAATATTTTCGAGACAAAGTTTGAAGTTTGGTCTATCATTCGCTGGACTCCAGCAACGTAGCATCTACTCGTACAAAGTCGGTGGACAATTGAGAGGCATCGGCAACCTGCCTCCAGCGCGGACATAATCTATCACTTCCTGATTAATCTCGCCAGTATAGGGATGCTCAACCAACGATGTAATTTCCCACATTATAACCCCAAATGACCAAACGTCGCTCTCAACTCGTACAAAGTCGGTGGGCAATTGAGAGGCATCGGCAACCTGCCTCCAGCGCGGACATAATCTATCACTTCCTGATTAACCTTGCCAGTGTAGGGATGCTCACCCAACAATGTAATTTCCCACATCACAACCCCGAATGACCAAACATCGCTCTGGGAAGTAAATATTCCGAGCACCAAAGATTCCGGTGCCATCCAGCAAACAGAAAGCCGACCTTGTCCTTTCTAAAACAAGTGATTTTAGAGAAGTTAATTGTCTGGTTTATGTTGTCCATTTTAAGGGCATTTGTATTCGAACGAGAAACGTTTATTT